CTAACTCGGACACCCAGTTCAAGTGCTTGTCAGCCATGAGTTATCCTGTGGCCCTCAGTGCCCACCCCCGAGCTACTGGCCACATCTGTAAAGCAGGAGTGGCCCTCTCTGCCCCAGGGGCTGTGTGAATTGAATCAGCTCTGCGCACCCTGTACAGGGGAACTCTGCAGAGCGCAGCAGTACATCACAAATGTACTGGCCTAGTGTGGACTTCAGGCACGGCGGGATTCAGCACATGAACGAGGACTCTACAGAACATGTGACACCTTGTGCAGTCACCACCAGTTTCCCCAGAGGACCCGTAACTTTCACTTCTATTAAATCTTTTGCCTTAAACTCTTTTAACACTACAATCTTGCATAGGCTCTTTTCTTGCCCCTTTCTTCTATCCCTTTATATTCTTTGTGATTTCTAGGAAGAGCTTATATCTTTTCATATTGAACGTCTTTTTCCTCAGCCTCTGGTTCAGGAGTTGGAACCATGCACCCATGTGGGACCCAGTTATCTTAACAACCATACCACAAGCTGGCCCTGTATTTGCCTTTTAACTGGGTAGTGTTTACACTTAGTGTGTTTACTGATTTTGATCTATTTCTACCATTTTAGCTAACAAGTCTCACATGCCATACTTTGCCGCTTCCCCAAATGTCATCTTTTTGGCCTTCTAAACCCAGATAGTTTTAGCTCCCTGGCTCCCTTCTGCTTTTTATATTACGAATTATTTTATTATCATTTTTCATGCTATAGGGCATGTGTGCTCAGAGACAGTGAGAAAACGGAACACCAAGTCCACAATTCAGCCATCATGTGGGATTCCAGGACCTTAACCATCACGCCACCTGCTAGCCCACCAGTTCTGCTTTTAAGTTATTCACTGTGGTGCTGTTCAGTGGTCACCACTCTTTAAGATCATATCTGTAGTCACCTAACATGTCTCTCCCCATCTGAGCTGCAAGTGTCCCACTATTCCAGCTCCACTTGGACTCCTCAGGGTTGGTTTTAGATTCATTGCAAGCCCACCAATTTCTGCTGACCACTGTCCTTGGTGGTGGCTTAACTCAAAGTATATCTAGTAATTCTTTCAGTGAGAGGATGTGACTAGTAAAATCGTGTCTAAAAATGCATCTTACAAATACTAGTTTACCGAACAATTATCTCTGTATTTAGGAAGATAACCTTTGGCTATTGTTTCTGAAGTGTCCCTAGCCCAATGATTGCCATTTCGTTGAGAACATTCCTGTAAACTTCCCTCCCAAATATCACTCGCATGCCTGCAAATGTTCTTTGATAACCATGATCCATGTTCTGTAGTTTCAGAGAGGCAGGTCTACATATGGGTGTTTCTGACTGGTTTCTTTTGCAATTCCTGAGTCTGGGGATTCATCAGTGCCGGAAACCAGTCATTCCCTTTCTAAACACTGCACACCCATTCTCCCCATTTTCTTTTTAAAAGAGATTTTTTGCTATAGGGCATTTGTCAGAGAGACGGAAATTGATAAATCACCTCCCAGGGGGGATGGCCACACAGCAATCCCTTCTCCATTGTCTTCTCAGGATCTTGGCATGGACTCACACAGCCAGATTGAGCTTTAAATTGCCTGGTCTGGCACTCAAACCACAGCAGACTACATGGGAGTACAGCAACATAACCGTTACGCCATCTGCTGGCCCTATCCCCATTTTTAAAACCTCCTTTAGAGA